AGCAGCCACTCGTTAACCCCCCACCCACCCCTCCAACTCCCCCCCTTCAGATCTCTATAAATACCCACAAAAGGGTCACCTCATCTTGGGCACAGAGAGAACTGCTCCTGTCTGTGCTCCTGCACTCTGAAGATGCCGGTCACAGATGTTGGCGAAACGTTAGGAAACAAAACTTCAAGACCACGGCCACACAGCCCAGAAGACCCACACCAGCCTTCGTATGCCGGCCGTGAAAGCCTTCAACAATACACAGATCCACAACTCTTCTTTAAAACGTGTGTGTGTGTGTGTATACACACACACATATATTTGTGTGTGTGTATATGTGTACGCTTACTTTACTTAAGTTACCTCAAGTTGTCCATTTTAACTTAAAAGTCCTGAGCAGCTTTCTCAGTGAAAACTTCTGCATATCAGATACTTTAGTAATCTGTCCCAGCTCACAATACTGCTGTTCATAGAAGAGATGTGAGTGTAGCCTCACGGGCTAGACATTCACAAGACTCCAGGCTGCTTGCCAGTTATAAAAACCACATTCTCATGAGGAAGAGATTCTCTCTCTGCCACAAACACAGATATCCCAGCCTCTCCCTCTATTCTGAGTCAAAGGCAAAGATAGAACTCAAAGAGAACCCAAGGAAGATGGGTCTTAGGATGGGACAAGAGGGGTTAACATTCCTACAAATAGCTTCTGATTAAAGTTTGGATTTTTCAGGAATCTAAGGGAAGATCAGATAAATAAGCAGAGGAACTTTTGCATCAGAAAAATATTATCTCTAATTACAGTTTAAAATGAAGAATTTCAGTTAGATTCTTGATTTAATTTTCTGTTATGCAAATCTAATGCTTTTATTTTTCTGTATAAATTCAGGTAGTGAATGTGTGTTTCAGCCTTTCATTTCATTTTTTAGGTTTGGCAGGAAGTTACTGATTTTATTTATATTCTTCTGTTAATCTGTCACATTGCAACAGCTTCCATCTCACAGGGAGAAAACGTTCATTGGTAGCAGACCAACACCATCCTGTAGTCTTCCAGGAACCCTGCATGTACTTTTGTAAATGTATTTAAAAATAAAATGTGCTTCATATACTTCATTTTAAAAAAAATAATAATAATAAGTCTAATTTTGTTTATCTCTTGTGAGGGTCAGTTTACCAAGGAAGGGCTGAAACCTCTAGACACACACTTATAAGGTACATGACCAGGAAGTTGCATTATAGAAATTATCTAATTTTTTGTCCATTTTTACCTTTCAAGTGCCAGAAAGGCAGCACAGATCTGTCACACATGCTGGGGATAGGGGAAGACTCCAGCAGAGTTACTACCTGGAAAATAGGTAGTAGCAGCAGGACCTTCTTCACCACTTAAGGCAGTAGGTAGGGCAGTAGGTAGGTGTAATGGTATGTGAGAAGCCTTGAGAGAAGGGGTGAAGAGATGCTGCCTAGGGGACAGACAGATAAGAGAGGGCATAACCAGCAGCTGCATAATGGATGGAGAAAGTGGCTCAGAAGGGACCCTCCTTAGCTTCTCAGGCTGTAAAGGAGATTTGTACTTTCAGACTTGGAAGATTCTGTTAATGTAGCCATACAATAAAGTAGAATTAGCTCATCTGATCATGTTTCCTGTCTGGCCTATCTTGGAGGGCTGACAATAGAGCTGTGACAACCCTTCAAGGTAAGACGGTCAAGAAACAAGCACTGCACAGATCTTCAATGTTATGGGTAGCATAACAGAATCTTTAAATCCTGTCAGAGTTTCTCTCTCCCTCAAAGGCAGTGTTATTCTGAGTTTCTTTGTCATGTTTTCCTTTTTCTCAGGAATGAGTATTCTGAAAGTCCCTTCTTAATGGTTCATTCATTCCTTCCCCATTCCCAAGGCCAGGTCTGAATTCCTTCATAGACTAGAGTGTGAAGATCCAAAGAGTTGCTGCGAGAAAAGAATTGAGACCATCTAGCCTTTTGGCCTATGGGCTCAGGCATTATGCTACAGCTATATACAAACATTTCAGTCTCCATACTTGGAATACTGAACTTTTAATTTATGAATGAAAATCACAGGAATTACTATGTATAAAAATGGAAACATTTTTCTTCATACCATAATATTTGAGGAAAGTGCAGTCCTCATCATCGCAGGATATTCTCTTCACTTCTATCATATCATTGCTTTTAATAAGAACATAAATTTCAGATGGGCTGAACTAAATCTAAATCTCAAAAAAAATCAGATCTTATATACGGTTATATATAAGTGAAAAGTATAAATGCCTTCAAAACAGAATGACACTAAGATAGAGCATTTGATATTTCCAACTCTGCAGACTTGCCAAAACAGTTTATAAATATGAATTCTCTAGCTGACTGCAAGAATTACATTATTTTGCCCAAGATACATGGCTGGAGGAGGTGGGAGAGACAAGAACCAAACGTACTTTTTTGTCTACTTAAATTTTCAAAGTTCATACATAATTTAAACAATGTATATTTGAAGGATTGTTACTTGAAGTCAAGGGTATTAGGCTAACCTATCGCAATTGTGGGAAGTGAAATGTGCTCAATTATAGGAAGACAGTCTTGGAATGCCAAACCATGTCATCAAGCGTAAGGTTTTAGGTGACCAGGGAAAAAAAGGATCATCCTCTTGATACAGACAGGGAAAGCAAATATAAGAGACAGCACAATATTTATTTTATTTCATGTTTTGTAGCCTTCTTTCACATTGACAAATGCCTAGAATATATGGTCTCTGACAGTATAAAGCAGATATTTTGAGTTCCTTATTTCTACCAGACATAGGTAGAAATTAGAAGTGTGATTAAATCTTCTAAATGTCCATGGTGTTCTTCTAGTAATCACTATATGAGTTGAAAAATTGTGTTATCCCTTTATTAGATACAAAAGAAAGAGATTTATTTATCTAACAGTGTATCATATACATAGCATTAAACTCTTTTACAAAGAAAGTATTATCTTTACATTTGACTATGAAAAAATGTTGTACCTGTCCTTGACAGAAAACATGAAGCATTGGTCCCTTGTGATAAATGTGATGGATTGTTCAAACTGAGGCAAGATCATTTTGAAGAGCTGACTTCACTATGCAGAAGGCTATTGTGGATAAAAACAATGAATGATTAGAGGAACTGTCAATATCAATAGTTTTTAGAATGAAATAATTTAGGCTGATCTTGAAAACCAATGAAACAGATGGGCATATTGTAGTAAAGCCAAATACATTTTTTGAGTCAGAAAATAGTTAATTATGTTGAATCTTGACAATCTTACAAGAGATTCACTGAAATAAATAGGATTTAAGGAGTTATGGGTAACTGGAGTTAAAAAGTAACTTAATTTAAATGCTGGTTACAAGGGGAACCTCTTGTTCCCCATCATCACTAAACAGCAGATGTTCTACAGAAAACAATTAGTTGAGGGCTTCCGGGGAAGAAATGGCTGACTGAACACGGCTCCGTTCTTTGTGGAGCCAACAGCCACAGCAATTTGAGGAGCTGGTCTTGGTCCAGCTCTTCAGAGTCATCTCCAGATAAAGGAGATCAACAGGATCACCCACAGGTACTCTTTACAGAGATTCCCTGTGAAGAGATTGCAATCTAGCAATCCCTAGCAGGTGGAGCGCTCTGGGGGTCAAGGGAAACATCAATCCCAAACTGTGATGGGGAGCCTTCAAAAGGACACTAGATTTGCTTTACTTCCTCTTTTAACTAACATCATAAATTGCCTATCTGTGATTTATTTGGTAATTAAAAGCCTCCTGAAAGACAAGTTGCTGTACACTGGGAGAATTTCCTACTATCCTGGGAGAAAGAAAACTAAAGTAAGTTTAAAGCTCAAAAAGAAATATTTTAATGTTTGGAAACAGCGAAGGGGAATTAAGAATGTTGATTGGGAACAGTTAAGAGGCTAGATGGATTTGAAACAGCTTTTTTAAATATTGTTTTAAATGTTTAAGAAAATACAGTAAGTGAATTTGGATTGAATTGCAAGAAAATCTGCCCTGGGAAAGTTTTGCTTCTGAAAATAAACACAAGATAAGACTGAGCTTTCAAGGTCAGAGGGAACGGATAGCAATTAGAGGAACATATCCCTTTTAACACAATGGAGGAGTATCTTTATTTCAAAGAAAATTTTTTAGCTGTTTGGAATCAGTGTGTCCAGGAACTATTTTTAAAATTGGGACTAACA